ACAATCATGCCTCACCCATATTCACCAGATATGGCACCCTGCGACTTTTTCCTCTTCCCATAATTCAAGAAACCTATGAAAGGAAGGAGGTTTGGAACGATTGAGGAGATAAACAAAAAATTGCTGGAAAACTCAAAGTTATACCAGAAAGTGCTTGGTGGATTGGAATAAACGTTGCCACAAGTGTATTATATCTGTGGGCGATTACTTTGAAGGAGACAACATTACTTTTGATACATAAGTACTCACTTTTGATAATCACCTTACCTTACTTTTTGAACACACCTCGCAACTACTAGAAACAAGCCGCTACTTACATGTAACAAGATTAAAAGCCCCAGTGACTGAAAAATTCTGAGAAATACCGTGATTGCTGTAATGAAAAATGAGAAAAAATGTTTATTACACTAGATTTTTACATTACAATACAAAATAAGAAGAGAGAAAAACTTTGTTACCCAAGTATCGCCTGAAGACCATAATAATATAAATCATAGTGAGATGATAGTTTGTTAAAGGTAACACACATATTCTAAATAAAGTTTTGGAAATGGATATTGGATCTAGGCAACTGCGGTAAAACAGTTGATTGATGTCTCCCTTCCAACGGCGACACATGAAAGCGTAATTGTCCCAGAAAAAATGGACAATCAACGACTTGTTGAGAAATGATAGAGATTGCAAGTCTCTGCTGAAACTCAGAGGCAGTAAAGCGAACGTTCTCAGTAGAAGATCATGACTAACCCCCGTCCTTCCTGTACATTAGATATTTCAACAATCTTTTCTAATGTAACAGTTAAAAATTATTAAAAAAAAGTTATTACGAATCCTAAAATTTGCATTGCACTGGACACCATTTTAGAGAACGTCTGGTCAAATAAAATCCCCAGATCCTTTACAGTGGTAAGTGCAGTCAGGATAGTACCAGCCATACTGTAATTAAAGACTATGGGAGTCTTTGTGCGGTCGTTGGTAAGAAACCACATTACACTTGCTGATGTTAAGATGGAATTCATCTTTAGTACACTGACACACAATATTGATATTGGCATGAATTGTCATGCAGTCCGTGCCGGTTTTAATACAGTGATATAGTTTTAGGTCATCTGCATGAGAAAGCATGTCGTAGATGATCAAAAAGATGAGATCGTCTATAAATATATTGAATAGAAGCGGTCCAAGGTCAGAACATTGAGGCACACCAGAAGTTGCAACAAAAGGAACTGATCTAAACCCCTCAAAGTCAACGAAGCGATGATAAATGTGGTCAAAGGCTTTGTGGAAGTCATTTTATATAACGTCAACTAGAGCTTGCTTGTTCGGAGAGTCACATGTATAAGAACACAGGGAACATAAGTGATATTTCATTTTATACCGATAATAATACAATTCAATTCAATGTACTTTTTGTGTGTAAGTATTAATTCTATATTCCGCTGGTATATTGTAAAGTATTGCTTAAAATATTCGATATTTCCGGAACTGTGAAAAAATTCCCTATTAGTCCAATCAAAAATACTAGAGAAAATTAGACAGAGGAAAGATATATGAGCAGTTACAGTGTCATTTAAATAATATTAAGATTGCCCCCGTTACTCAATCAGGCTATAAAGGTGAACTAGCTTTACCATAGCTTTGCTGCATATAACTTTTTGCGTATTTAAGGCTACAGATGATGGTAAGCTGGAATTTCTATATTTCGTTCTAGCCAGTAATAAAATATAAATTTACGAGGACGTGGATCATTAGACAGGGTGAACAACTTATAGGTTCCGAGAAATTTCAGTTTTTAAGACCTACACACCCCGAATTGGACCTAAATTGCATACAATAGAAAGACGAATTTGGCGACAGTATTGTGACAGCATTGTGATAATAAATATGATAATAATTATACACGATATAATTGTAGAGATTGACAAATTACTGAAAAATTAAATACTCTAATATCAAGTAAATAAAACCATATGTAGGAGTAAGGATATGAAAATAGATAAATTCCGATAAATATTATTGTTTAAAGAAAATCTACTATTTAAATACAATTTCATTCGTAAATTTTACTTGTCATGTTCCAAGTAGACAGTAATCGTTAAGTTTTCAATTTCCCATATTCTTTTATCTATTTCATTTACAATCTACTGTCTTCACTCCTTCTTAGAAGAAGGTTTTAACGTTCCTCATTTTAAATTAAATTAAAGAGAAAATTGCTATAAAAACTATTAAATATTCACATAAATAAAAGCCATAAATTAGTAATTTTTTATTGATCAACATATTGACACGTTCAAATTATTGATAAATTTTATATATTATTTATATGAAGTGTACAAAAAGTAGACAGAAAAATAATGTCACTCGAAAATGCTAAAACAAAATTAAATAATTAAACTCTACTCTATCCAAGAACTAAATACATGTAGAAACAAAAGGAAAGAATATTGACAAATAACGAATACAGAAATGTAACACACCTAATATTAAATAACGATAACTGCTTACCCCATAATAATAAATAATAAAAGGAAAACCCGAAAATAAATTAACGCAAATTAAAAAGAAAAGACTATAAGACAAAAAAATAACTACAAAAAACGCATATGTAATAGTCGATCCACTTGGTACATAAAGAAAAATAAGTCATAAAACATATCAAATGGGATAAATGATATTTTTATTGATTCCAAATCCTGCGTGGATTGGAATTTCGACCCGAATTCGGGTAATAACAAAAACAAATATTTTATTGTTTTCATTAATTAACTTTCCGAAATCAACGTTCCATCCTATTATTCGTTTAAAAAAAACGCAATTCATCTGCAGATAAACATAAAAAACCCTTATGTACACAATTTCCATGCGCGCATTGTTTATTAGCTTCAAGAGACGAATCGAAATCCGCATCCGTATACGTTTTATATAATCTCCGCCATTAATCACGAAAACCATCGCTCGAAGCGAGCAAACGAGCACAATGGGTTTAAACAATTTTTTCCGTAATTGAAATTGTTGCAAATAAAACGAATATTTGCCCATAATGAAATCCCGGAGTTGATTATAATACAATCTATATATGGTTATAAAACTGTCGAGCGGTACTGTACATTTATTATTTACGTATTTGGTCGAAAACGCTCATTAAGTTTCGGTTAGAAAATGTGTCGTGCTCCTTTGAACGAAGGCATCAATTTTACAATTTTAGACCGACTTGGGCAATTTTTCCTTGCAAAGGACAGATTGCTACGTTACCATTTTAAAAGCAAACCGCCGGCAATACCTTTTCGAATGGCATTTCATTAAATGCACACACTTTGAATTTTAAGTGGGAAAATTAAAAACAATATTATGCACTTAAATTTTATGTTTATCAAGATACTATTATTTTTTAAAGTTGGTGGTATAATTATATTCAAAAGTTTTTCGTGTTTCCTTATTATTCTATTGAATTTTACGATAATCCTTATTTTTTTATTCAATTCTCAATATTTATTAATTTTTTACATAAAAAAGACACGTTTAAATTATCTATCGTATCTATTTGTACGAAACTTCAAAACTTTAACTGTTTCATATAAATTATGTAAGTCACTAATTAACTCTAATGCAAACATTTTATCTGACAGGTTGGCAATAGTCTTCCGACTTGGGTGACGTTCCCATTTATCAACATCATTTTTAATTTATTTGAAAGACAAAACGCAAAGGAACTATTCTTCCGTGTCGTTCAAAAGCGTCGAACTTATCATTCGTATCTTTCTTGCTATTGTTACGCAAGACAATGATGTTTTTGAATTTATTTAAATTATTTCTTTTGTAAAAGACGTTTGCTTTCTTTGTTAAGTATAATAAACTGTCGCAATTAAGTTAAGTGAAATAATTGCTAATACTCTAAAATTGTATATCGAGAAACATACTTCTTATAGGTAGGAAATTTCACTGTGATTGTGTCCTTGCTACTTCAAAAATAAATTCTCCAGGCCATGTTTCAGATTTATGCATAAATGGATAAATATTTTTCTGACTATTTTAATCTCGCTTATCTAAAGCAAGGCTTTGGTCTAGTATGATATAGTATACAAAAAACTTCCATCAGTAATGTATATTTTTTTCCAACAAATTATTTTGATTTCCAAAAGAAAATGTTTTAAACGCCTTAACCAATTCTGATCTTGGTGAAGTTATCGAATACTCTAGAAATCATGATTTGAGACCATGCAGCTGAGACGGACGTAGTATACAGGGTGGCCGTAATTGGAGTGTTTTAAACCTTTTTATGAGAAACATTTACCAGTTAAAATCGCATAGCAATATCTACCAACCGATATATACCAGATTTTTCTCCAGTTCTCGGTTTTCTTATAAATGAATACAACTTTCCTATTTTATGTGGCACTTTTCAGCCATATAGATTTGTTGGTATCTGTGATGGCCGTGCATATGGCTGACTATGAACTGGGGGGAATCAGTTAAGGGTATATTTAGATCCTGGCTTAATATGCAACACACGTGTTAATTATATAATAAAAGCAATCTATTATAAAAATAATATACACTTACTGAAGAGCGTAAACAACAACTGACTAAATCATACTGATTATTGTTCAGCGTTTATTATCACTATTTGCTTCCATATAGTAAGCTAAAATTACAACGTCTCCAAAACGTATGTATTCTTTTTTTTTGATGACCGCATGATATGTCTCTGTTTAATGTTGCTTTATAAGGTAATTAAGAATGATAAACCTAAACATTTGACTAATCTGCTTAGTGACAGATTTGAAAGTCGTAACTTGAATTTAAACGTAGATAATTTTGAAATCCCCTGTAGATTTACAAAATATTGATTGCTGCTTGTACTTCGTTTTCTTACGTCTCAAAATGGCTCTCTCCTTAAAATCTAATTAAGACTGGGTAGAAACTACGCCTGGTTAAAAAAAGTGCATGCTTTTCAATAGCAATTCTTTTAACGTATCGTAGTTTCCAATACAAGTTTTGGTTAGCTTTTAGATAATCCATCCAAAATGGTTTCGTGCGATTGTCCCATAACCCACCCTGGACCCACCTTGGCGTCGACGTGCGGCGGAATACCGTTCATGCTGTTCATGGGCCTCCTGGAGGTATTTCTCCGATCCCAATGCGATCTCGAGGACCCATGCGGCCGGCCCCAGAACGCCCATCTGCAACATGAGTACGACTTCATAGTGGTCGGTGGAGGCAGCGCAGGTGCAGTAGTAGCCAGCAGGTTGTCGGAGATACCAGAATGGGACGTGCTGCTAATCGAAGCTGGTACTCATATCAGCAAGGCAGTGAGAAGGTTTTACTCAAGTGAGACTCGTTCCAGGTAACGATGAACCCACGGGCACTCAAGTACCATCCATGTTTCTCAATTTCATCGCCAGCGACATAGACTGGGGGTACCAAACGGAACCTGAACCCCAAGCGTGCTTGAATGAGAATGAGCGAAGGTGCTACTGGCCAAGAGGAAAGGTAATTTTCTAATAGACTAGGTAATAAATCTAGTAGAATGATAATTCTTTGATGTTACCTTTTGTCTTCAACGCAAATCTTTGGAATTATAAATTTAGGGAGGACATATAAATAAACGATAATTTTATTGTCATGCATTGTGCATTGGAAAATTACTTAATCATTTCTGAGAAAAATATTGAGTTACGACTGCATGATTTTTACTTGCGGTAAATTGAACTTGATGAAGTCACTGATACTTGACACAAAGGGCAAGCTTAAAATTAAAACTTTGGAAGCAGTAAATAATAACTTTATCGCAATCAAAGCTATAAGATTGTAGAATTCATTTGAATATATATTTGATCTAGTGGTAGTTATTATCTACAAAACGTCTCGATTCTTCATGCGTCTGCTGCTTCAAAGCTTAATCCATATTGGTGAAAGGTAAACATACTTACATATTACTATGGCGACTAACGGCGACTTACCTTTCACCAATATGGGAATGAGTCATCCCAGACAATGTTTATGTACCTCCTTTAGCTCCGCCCCCCCTCAAACAATATATAAGCAGTTAAGCTCTGAAGGAGCCAACAGGATGATTGGCGAAACGTCAGCAATTTACAGAAGATTTGTAAATAATACTACAGTAGCTTGTAAAACTAGTGTTCATCTGCCAGTAAAATGATAGTCACTTTCTTGCTTTAGGTGTTAGGAGGTACTTCGGTAATGAACGGCATGATGTACATGAGAGGCTCGCGGAAAGACTACGACGACTGGGCAGCGCTAGGCAACGTCGGCTGGAGTTACAACGAGGTGCTGCCTTATTTCCTCAAAAGCGAGGACAACAAGCAAATCAACAAAATGGACAAGGGGTACCACGCGCAAGGCGGTTTGCTCTCAGTCTCCCAGTTCCCCTATCATCCTCCCTTGTCCAGAGCGATCTTAAAAGCCGCCGAGGAGCTAGGCAAGTGCCAACACCTACCCCCCTCCAATAAGAGTAACGTAGCTTCGTTTCAGGGAACCCAATTAGAGACCTCAACGGTGTGTACCACACGGGCTTCCAGATAGCTCAATCGACAAATCATAACGGATCGAGAATGAGTTCCTCCAGGGCCTTTCTGAGGCCTTTCAGACATCGTCGCAACTTGCACATATTGATGAACGCGACAGTGTCGAGAGTTCTGATCAACACCACCACCAAGCAGGCCTACGGGGTAGAAGTACTCAATGCGGGTACCAAACAACTGATCTACGCCACCAAGGAAGTGATATTATCCGGTGGGGCAGTAAACTCGCCCCAAATACTACTCCTCTCTGGCGTGGGTCCCAGACAAGACTTGGAGCAAGTCAACGTTCCCGTAATTCACGATCTACCGGGCGTCGGACAGAACCTCCAGAATCACGTGGCCTTTTTCGTCGTTTTCAACATAAACGACACCAATACGGCCCCGTTGAACTGGGCCACCGCTATGGAGTATTTGTTGTTCAGGGACGGGCTGATGAGCGGTACCGGCATATCCGAAGTCACGGGCTTCATCAACACAAAGTACAACGACCCGATGCTTGATCATCCGGACATCCAGTTCTTCTTCGGTGGGTTCTTGGCCAATTGTGCCAGAACCGGCCAAGTGGGAGAACGAGTCGATAATGGAACCAGGCAGATCCAAATCATACCGGCGGTACTTCATCCGAAGAGCAGAGGGTTTATCAGACTCCGCGACAATAATCCGCTTAGTCATCCGCTGATTTACGCGAACTATCTGACCCATCCGGATGACGCGAAAGTGTTGATAGAAGGGATTAGGTTCGCGCTGAGGTTGGCAGAAACCAAAGCTCTCAGGAGGTACGGGTTCCAATTGGACAAGACGCCCGCGCCTGGTTGTGAGAATTTGACTTTCGGTTCGGATAATTACTGGGACTGCGCGGTAAGGAGGCAGACGGGGCCTGAGAACCACCAGGCCGGTAGTTGCAAGATGGGGCCGAAAGAAGACCCATTGGCTGTCGTAAATCCAGCTTTGCAGGTAGGAATACATAAAAAGCATAGAACAAATAACAATGGAGATAAACTAGAAACACACAAAATCTTACGATCTGGTCCACGCAATAAGTTTTATCATACGATTTGGCTCTTATAACTTCAACTTGTTGTTTTTCTGTGTGTCTTCAAAATAAAGGTCGTACGTACTAAAAACTCTAGCATTACTCCTTTTTTGGTGCTGATCGTTGGTACTTTTTTAACTAAAGTGATGTGGTTAGTAGCATTCTCAAAAACCATTTCACCGCATGGTGCGGTATTTGGAAGCAGAGAATTTTTCACCGAATATTCAAAAAGTTCACTTGTCATGTCCTGATGGTAGTCTAATGAGCAGATTAAGGTTTTTGCTGAAACTAGCAAAACGTTTGGCACCAGCCGCAGTAGAAAAGGAATTTTTCTTGTCCTTTAGATGCAGGTACATTCAAAATGCAGTTCGATGAAGAAATTTGCCAGCCTTTCTTTATAGGACCATAGGTCTCGAACTAACTCCCATCTAAGTAATATAATTTTGTTTTTAAGTGAAATATTTTTGTTTCAATTAAACCAATCGTTGGATATCTTTTTTTTTCAATGCAAATCCGGTTTTGTGCAGAAATCGACGCAATGTTTTACCACTGCCAGTTAATCCACCATTTTCTGTTACTTTCTGATTACTCTCATAAATCGCATACAGTTTCATTAAGTCTTTGTCACATTGTTCAAGAAGACCTAAAGAACAATTTTGCATCAAAAAATATAAGTTATTAGCGGATATTTATCAGCAATCTTCTAGTGCATTACGATAAGAATTAATATAAATATTATATAAATTTTACCTTCATGTACTCTCTCTTCATGTATTCTATTGCAGCATATATTGAAATGACACTTTCTTTTTGGTTCGTTACTCTTCTCCATACGGTGGCCGAAATTTATTCGACCCGCGGTCTAAACATATTAATTAATAACTGTAACAGTTCAAATGACAAAGCGCAAATGATTTGAAGTATAACATTTCTAAGATGTGGATACTACTAAAATAACGATTTTAAGTGGGCTTTGGATTGGTTTGTCGGGAGTAAAGGGTGCTCTGTTTATGATAGACCAGGTAATTTAATGCAATAAGATATCAAAATCGATAAAATGAAAAATAAGTAAGCAAATGGGTAGATGTTACTCTTATAATGCTGATTAAGTCAAATCTAATTTTCTTTTGCAATTCTCTCCGACAATAACATAATAAATATCTTTAGAAATATTAAAATGAAAGCTGTCGCTAGGATAAGCTCTACATTTTACTTCTACAATGGGTAGAAGCAAATATTATTCCTTTTCCCAAATTGACAATTCTAATTTATTTTAGTGAATTCTTTTGCCCATTAATATCATCCCATGTAAGCAGTCTGGTGTTACTTTCTACATTATTAGTTATTGAACTGAGATGGCTTTTACTTGATGAAAATCCATTTATCAAAATAAATAAGAACTAAAAGTTCAGATTTTCACGAAATTATATATTATGACATGACAATTGTTTCGACAACATTTGATAAAGACACACGGTGTTGTCGAAACAATTGTCGTGTCATAATATATAATTTCGTGAAAATCTGAACTTTTACTTCTTATTTATTTTTATTAATTATTAATAATAACAGTTTATGAAAATGTGTCGGATTCGCTTGATGAAACCTGTGGCATTCCACGGAGCAGCGCTTTCGGTCCTTTACTGTTCAAAATCGATCTCCAATTTGTTATGTCAAAAAAAAACATAAACCAATACATAAATACTTGACAACTTTTCTCTTAAATTAAATCAGGAAGATATGTTATTTAAAAATACTGGAAAAGATACTGTTAAAATTAAACCATAAATGGAGGTTTAAGGAACACGTTGAATCTCGCGCAGGCGCTATCTAGTTCAATATATTTAAAATATGTTAATCTCTTCTTGTGTCTCCAGTAAATTATTGCGACAGTAATGACCCATGCGTTGATAAGACTGATAATAGACGTAAACAGAAGCTCCAAAACTCACGTTGATCTTCGAAGTTCGTCGAAAATGTATTTCAAACATTTAACGATTTAAATCGACTGTATTAAATGCGACACGATTAAATTGAAAAATATTCTTACTTATTCTTACTAAAATATACTTACTTAAATATCATGGATAAGCGATTGTAGCGAGCTGCAATCACAGATATTCAATTCATTGGTTTGTATCATTAATTTAACTTGTTTTATTGTGTTATTAAGTTTTTAATTATTATTATTATAAAATTTAAATTAAACCTAACAATGTCACTATCTACATTCATTTATTTCCGCGTTGCTTCTCTGGCTTATGAACCATTTTGTTTATATTGCTTTTATATGTTTTCTTTTGTACAGAGTGTAATCACTTAAGTGTGCAACTTATTGGGAAAATTAATAATGATAATATCCTTCATTTTCAACAAAAATATTAAACATTTACAACATCAAGAACAAAGAAAAACCTAATAGGTTAAGATTACAGAAAAACAATAAACAATATAATAATAATAAAAAGATACGACAATGGTCAATATCCATACCATTAAATTTAAAAATTAAAAGATGAAAGGCATTTGGGCTGCAAGTATGAAATCACCTATTTCAACCCTGTCTATGCTGCAAGGCCTATATCGTCCGATAATATGGACGTTTTTTCAAAAAAAGAGACTCAAGAGATCAAGAGCCGGATAAACCAAGGAAGAACTGTAACTAACCAACTTAATTCAGTTCTGTGGAGTAAATAATAAAAAGAAACCATCAACATTAGAATACACAAATCAATAGATGACATACAGTGCTGAGCTTTGGGAGACGACAAGACAAATGCAATGGAAATGCTTGACAAAGTATAAAATGAGCACATCAGCGACCCTACAAGATGAATATAGCAAGTATTGTAGACCCCATCGAACCAAAGGTATTGAGATGGTGTGCACATATCTGTAGAATGCCGAAATCACAAATATTAAAAAAAGTTAAGTTGTGCACAGGGAAACTGAGCCCGGCCCTTTTCCCGGTAACAGTCGTCATTGAGCATAAAAGTCAGAGTTGTTAAACAGACTAGGAAATGTCTTCACAAAGATAACCAACTGCAGATAATATAGATAGCAAAGAGTAAAGTTTGCCCTGAGCGTCGTAATACGCAGGAAGTTCTGGAATGTTTGGAAAAGCCTCAAAATAGTATCCCATATGAAATTGAATACTGGATACAAGCAAAATAGATAATCTTGATGTTCTTTGCGCAAAGCGCCCAAACAAACAATATTTTTACCATAAGATTAATGATTGGAAAATTTTTTTCGACAGCACCTTGCATTTTGCAACTTTTTTTTTCTATTCGATTTTATTTATTTTTTCTTTGGTTTGTTTGATTTTTCTTTCTCAGTATTCTGATACATCAGTAAGTGGTTAAATACAGCCACCCATATCAGCTGTCCCTGTAATGAATCATGTAATTGCCTTATGGGGACACGAATTACGGAACTTGCGCTATCTAAATAAATTGAACATATTTGTCGATTGACACTTGATCCCATTTCCTTAAAAGTAATTTATTGTGCAAAGACTCCATCGCTGGTCCAAAACCTATGTTATGTGGTTTACACTTGATTACTAATTAACATTTCTATTTCCCCGACCAAACCAAACTAACCCAAACAAGAGGTAGAGACTTTTGGTTAGTCTCAAGTTAATTCTAATTGCAGGTCCACGGCATCGACCGGCTACGTGTCATAGACACCAGCATCATGCCTAAAGTGACAACGGGTAATACGAATGCCCCAGCCATCATGATCGGCGAGAAGGGTTCCGACATGATCAAGGAAAGATGGCTGTCGCAGGGCGACGGCTTCTATTTCTCCAACGAACCCAACCACAGGATACTTCGGCACTGGTAGTTTTAGCAAAAATTCCTTGTAGGTTCAATTCTATTTTATTTTGGAGCGTCGACGTGGGCGACACAACTGCGTCGCGCGGAATTTGTAAGCAATTCAGTTGTTTTTCCAATATACGAACGCAACGGAAAAAGTGTGGTCGTTGGACATTTTATTACGTTAATATTTTGAACGAAACTATTTTCCGACGGCGATGCACAAATTCCTATCCTTTGTAGACTGACAAAAACGGCTTCTGCGGTTGTGTAAGCCCACGCATTTTTCTGTATAAACGTTATGAGTATTATTAATGTTTAGGTATTTATTTTATTGTATCTCGCAATAATAAATATTTTTAAAAAAACCTGCCCCAGCTTTTCTTTTCCACTTTTCGCTTAAGACTGCAAAATAACAAACAGTGAAGTGAAATTCAACAATTCATTTTATATGTTTGTAATGTGCTGACCCGAAAAATGCAACCAGATCCTTTCTACCAGTTTGAGTTTCCGAAATACGGGTTGAATAAGATTAGTTCTGCCAAGGGAGAAACATAAAGCAATAAATTAGATCATTTGACATTAAATAATTTAAAGTAGTATAAACGTAACAAACAAATTGAAAAAAAAACAAATAATGAAAAATTTGACATTTGGACTTGTGCCTGGCCTAGTTTTCCTATACTAAGTTATTTGGCTGTGCCTGATTTAGTATATTACGAAATTTTCGAAAGTAATGTTAAGTAAGTAATAATTTTGTCTAAGTTTTGGTTAGTATATTTCCAAAAATACTTGGATGATAGAGAAATAAAAATTTCTTGAAAATAAAATATTTTTGGTGAAGACGATTACATTTTGTTGCATATTTTTTCAGATAATATGAAGAGGGGGTTGGTAGCAGCTTATAATCTCGCTATAGAATGTATTGCCTATTTTATTGGTACCGCTCCGTTACTTTTTTTGAAAATTATTGTAGGGTCATCATTTCTAAGCAAAGAATTGATTTCTTTCTATAAAACACACCGCTGTCGAGTAAATAGCTTGCTTGAAAACAGTTCATTAAGAATAAGTATTCGATGGATTACAATTGACATTAGCGTAGACATTCATTATTCTAATTAATGTTTTTTTTTTAATTTTAATATGCCATAGGCATAATGAATAATGACAAAGAATGCACTCATTGTTGCTTAAATCTAATTCGCAAAATATCGCTTTGATAGCTTTTTGGCATATTACGGACGAACCTGTATTTTGTTTTTCTACTAACCCATTTTGAATTGTAGGTACCTCTAAAATATCGATTTTGTTTATTTGTGTATCTGGTTTCATCATAATTACAAATTACGCTGACATTTTATTTGTTCCTTATTAATTTAATTATTTATTATTATTAATAATAACTAATAAGTTTGCAAGGGCATTGCGTCCTGGTTCAAGTAATGGGTGTTTTTTTCGATGTATAGAACTTTAAGTTGACATTGCTGTTCAAGATGGCGACCGATTTAACAGCGGTCAAGTGATTTATTCTCAGTTTGGTTTGGCAATTCATCATGAATAGACTCACTCCTGAACAACGCCCATTTTATCGTCGACAAAATCGTCCATCAGAACAGTTAATTCGATTAACCATGGAACGTTTTCGCACCACGTTTACTCTTATTGATAACTCGCATCCCCAGAGACGCCGTACGGTGCGTACAGAAGACCTATTGCTGCTGCAGAGCGTAGCATTGAGGAAGACCCGAATGAGTCCATCGAGCACAGGAATTGGATCTATGTCCATCCACTTTATGGAAGATTTTACGGAAGGATCTTGGTTTACGTGCTTACAAAATCCAACTCGTGCAAGAATTGAAGCCAAACGATCATCAAGTAAGGCGTAGATCCGTCGAATGGGCCCAAAACGAGATTGCCGTTGTTCCCGATTTTCATAAGCGAATTTTGTTTAGCGATGAAGCGCACTTCTGGTTGAATGGCTACGTCAACAAACAAAACTTCCACATTTCGAACACCGTTATATCCAGAAAAACTGACTGTTTGGTGCGCTTTATGGACTGGTGGAATCACTGGTCCGTACTTCTTCAAAAACGATGATGGCCAGAACGTTACAGTCAATGGTGATCCGTATAGAGCTATGATTACTAACTCTTTCATTCCTGAATTGAATAACCATGATGTCCAGAAGATCTGATTTCAACAAGACGGCGCAACATGTCACACAGCTCGTGCCACAATCGATTTATTGAAAGACACGTTTGGTGACCGCCTAATTTCACGTTTTGGACCTGTGAATTGGCCTCCAAGATCTTGTGATTTAACACCGCTAGACTACTTTCTGTGGGGCTATGTAAAGTCATTGGTCTATGCGGATAAGCCACAAAAGCTTGACCATTTGGAAGACAACATTCGCCGTATTATTGCCGATATAAGGCCACAAATGTTGGAAGTAATCGAAAATTGGACGTCCAGATTGGATTACATCCGCGCCAGCCGTGGCGGTCATATGCCGGAAATTATATTTAAAATGTAATGCCACAAGATTATCTTTCGGATAAATAAAATTCATGTCAATCGAATAATCCATCGTTGTTTTATTGCAACTTAAAGTTCTATACATCGAAAAAAAAACACCCCTTATAACTAGAACGGGAAGCCTTTTCAAGAAACAAAGAATTTTAAAAGAATTGTTAATAAGAAAAGAATTATACACAATTCCACTATTAGTTCTGCGATTTATCCCTCGTTTTATAGTATCAAAAGTCTGAATTAAAAACTAACAAGCGGCATATATGTTTTCAATCTTTTTCGCCAAACAATTCTAGGAAACCATGTACATAAAAAAAACTAGTAGAAAGTAACAATTTTTTACGTTCTATTTCATTGCATTTCTACATAGTATCAGTATTAATATACACAATATTAAATATAATAATAATTATCACTCACTTAAAAAATCGTCACTATCGCTACTGTCGTCAGCTAATTCAATGATCAACTCCGTCACTGATCGTTCTCTTACTTACCTGTAAGATAATTAGAGTACGGGTACTTACCCTTACTCTTTGAACTATCCAGTGAAAACAGACTGTCAGGGTCAAAGCTCTAGAATCAGGTAGATAAATACGTGCTTACTGGAAGGATCACATTCAAATACCTTCATTCATTCATATACGAACATATTGCAAATTTAGATTAAACTCTTAAGAAGTATACATACAACTGATATTAAAATAAACTCTTCTACTTATTCGAAAATACCCCGCAGCATGAATGCTTATTTATGTACATTTATGTTTCAAATAAAAATTTCAAGTGTCTACAAATAATGCAGAATAAATATCTGTTGGGATGGGTTTTACCACGGTCGAGCGAAGGTACGTAAAACGTCAAAGCAATAAATGTACAATATTTTTGGTCGTACAATACCTCTGTAAATAATTCCTACGTTTTGGGTTATTTGCATGGTGAATATGTTTCGAATGAGAGCAGAAAAACTATTTCTGACTACGTGAAAAGAGCCTATCTTGTTTATTTTGGAGTTCATTTGGGAGATCAGCATAAATCTTGGGTCTCACATGTCTTTGTAAAACAAATGAAAAAGGAAATGTGCTAATGATTTGGAGAGAACCGTGAAATCAAAATGACGACTGCTATATTTGTCTCGTTAACATTAAAGGACATATCAATCAATGGACATATCCTGATGTAGACAGAAGACACCAGTAGTGCACTCGGAAGAAATACATATTATCTTTTTTCTGTCTCCATTTACTTTTGTATTTCTTTTTCTTTTTTTATCTTACTTTTATCTAACTTTACGAATGATTTTTTTGTTTACGTTGGGTGGTATTCATTCACTTTAGGAAGTGCTTTGGGTTTCGGGATATAGTTTAATTATTATTATTTTGTGCGTATATACATGCCTTGACAACTGTATACTCCGTCTTGTTCTCCCTCCTTTATTCCCGGGAAACCTTTCCTTCTTTTATATATACATTTTTTGTTACTCCATTTTTACCTGCCTCCGGCACTTCGCGAGCGGCCGTGCCGGAATCGAGAATTGCGCGTTGCGAGTCGGAAATTTGAACACCTGTTTTGAAAAGCAGTGTGCAACACCCTCAAGAGTCGAACCCTCCGGTAGAACGGTGCAGCGCATTCCCTTCAACCCAGCACATCCTCCACGAGGAAATTTGGGGTAAGTCAGGGCATGATTACGGTCATTTTACTTCGGATTCGGGGAACCAGAGTGATCTTGGAATTACAGATTGGTACCAACAAATTTATACACAAATTTGTTGCGTAACCGAACACAAACTATTGGTCCTTCGAGCCGGATCCTCTGTGAGCCGAATCCTTACTCTTGAGACATTGCATAACCGCTTATTTACTCAAGAATATTTTTCCTTTTATTCATTTTACTTTTCCAAAGCACATCCTAGGTTATTACTTATTTCTTCAATATACTACTATGCCTTCGTATGCCCCCTAGAAAATGGTGTCATAAACTCTCAATATACAAATTGAGAAACGACCGATTCTAAATCAAAAAATACATCTTGATTTCTGCTATTTGCACGTGTATGTAGGTTGTCTTTCTCGTTCCAAAGACGACAAAAAATAATCGCGAACTCGCTCCGGCGAAATCCCTTTTTTTTTGTCTCACCTGCCGGTCAATACGGTGCCTGCCAAATTCAATAATTTGCTTTGAATTCTCAATACAATTATTTTTTTTTTACGAATCCATAAACATTAGACTTGTTGTTGGAAGCCATCCCAAACGCGACCGTTGAGTGTAGAATACGGGGGCGCTTCCAAAAGTACCTAATAAATTTGGTATTTGTTTCGCTATTTACGAATCATAATCCTACTACTTTTACCATGCCTCCTGCAGGTGAGAAAGAAAGAAAAATTGCGTGCGCTCAAGCCCTGCGTCAAACCGTGCTTAATCAGTTGGACCTGATCGAATCCTCGGCTAATCATGCCAAAACGAACCCTGCCCAAATTTAAAATTAATTTTAAAAAATTGGATTCATGTAACAAGAATTTTGAAAAACATCACCTTGCGGTAATCTCTCTACTTGCAGACGATTCCGAGGCTCTTGCGGAGGAGCATAACATTCAAACCAATTTCTTAACGAGATGCGTAGAAATCGAGTCCACTTATTTTGATTTATTCGAAACAGAAACGGTTGATTTAACCCAAAGCAGGGAACACAATCAAACTATAATTGTACCAGAACAAGAATATTCTTTGCCCAAACTAAACGTCCCTAGTTTTTCCGGAGACATCGAGGAGTTTCCCTCATTCATTGAAATATATAACGCGATAATACATT